TCAGTGGCTAGAGGATCTGACCTCACTTCACCAGTGAAGGCACCTCCTTTCTTCACCCAGCAATTTTGTGCCGCAACGTGGAAGTCAGACCTCAATGTGCTCTTAACCAGAGGAAGAAACACATATGGAGGGCTTACCACAACCTCTGCATTTGTAGAATTTCCAGTACGTTATTACCAATATAACATGGATAGATATAAAACCAATGCATATGAGTATAATATAATGTATACAAGAAAAAAAATAATTCGCCTAACAAAAACTACTTAATAGATTTGATCATCCTTCCAGATAGAAACAAATATCTTCACTTCATTAGCCAGCTAATATATAAGCATTTTGTATTCCCAAATCAAAATACGTTTTTGTATCAGAACAAAAGCAATTCAGAAATCTTCTAGTTAGCTATAAGCTTTTCCTGCTCAAATCTTTCAAGATCGAGATGTATCATACATACCAACGACATCCTGTGAAGGTACTTGAGCTTCGTTAAGAGTGTTCACAATCTTCTTCACCTCTTCAGCAGTTCCGTTCTACATTCATTCAAAATCCAGCACATAGCATAAGCATCTTTCTCCCCAAAAAAAAAGAGAGCCTAATCTAAATCAACGCCAGCATGCACGCCAAGATTCAATCAAAGCTTGAGCACTTGATCATTCACTCGAATTACAAAATTGAGATCCAGCATCGAATCGACAAAACGCAAGCATCAGAACATCTAATCAAAACGAGGATCTGAAATTGCAAACTCAATCTAGGCAAAAAATGAACCTATACCTATAAACACGATCTACAAAGCGGAGGTTCTCCGATCTAACAATAACACCGACGAAGAACAGGGAGAAGAAGATAGCTTACGCATTTCCAGTTGCCTCCGACGAAGAACTTTCTAGCCATCTTTTCTCAACGATGATCACGAGAGACGACGATGGAAGATAGAATCGAGAGTGTGTGTGTTCAGTGGCCGTTGTATCACGCAGGGGTCACTAATATATAAACAATGTAATAATAATTAATTCTGGAAATGACGATCTTGCCTTGGTATAGAAGAATATTCGCAGATGAAACAAGAATGGAAAGAGGAGGGTAATAACGTAAGTTACAAGAGATGAGGACATTGTTATGGGCGTGTAGCCCACGGTTTGGTCGATGGGTAAAAGACGCCGTGGATAGTGCTTCATTGATAAAATTATAGCCCACTGAAATAAATCAAAATGTAAATCGGGCCCATTACCAATGCTTGGTAATGCCATTAAAAAATATTTTGGGATTCTTCGTTAATTTGTTAGGGAGGAATAACATTAAAAAAAAAATCATTTAAAAAATTGTAACCTTAAATTTTTAATAATTAAAAATAACCACATGCATAGTTTTTTGTCTTCTATCTTATTTTAGAAGGATTTTAGAGCATGTAATATAATGTATAGTTTAAAAATTATACTCTCTAACAATATAATATTTCGTAGGCTATAGTTGGTCATATATATCAAATATTTATTATTTCGCATGTTTTCCTTAAATAAAACATAAGGAATTACCTAAAGTGATTAATATATATATATATATATGACAATTAATGATTTTAAACAATAAAGATTTGATAACAATCTGTATATTTTTTCTCATTTTGTTAATTTCTTTATTATTAAAATAAATTACACAATTAAATTAATCATATAATAAAAATCTAGATTTTTTTTTGTTTGTTGTATTTTGAATTTTTCAAAATGAGTATAAATTACTAAAACTGTTAAAATTCTCACATAAACTTTTAGGATCAAGGTTTTAATTTTTTTCTATATTAAAATATAATGATTATAAGACCATATGAAGAAAAAATTTTAATTTATATATATTTTATATTTTATAATTAAAAGAAACATCGTATGAAAATACATACTTATATTTTGATATTTTCATTGAACATATATTGAAAAGTTAATATTTTAATTTTGAAATATGTCATTGTTTTTTTTAATAAATGATTATAAATTATTGAAACTACTGAACATCTCACATTAAAAAAATTTGTTGCTGTAAAGTTTTGTTACACAAATATGCAAATAATCATAAAATCATATGAGTAGAAACCTCATTTAATAAATATCCATATTAAAAATGTGCTATATTACTATGTTTATATCATTTAAATTTAATTATATATCATATATAATATATAAGATTGATTATTTTGATTTATTTACCCTAATCGCGAATAAACAAGAGTGATAGTTAAATTTATATGCATACGCCAATTTATTACATAATAGTAACTGATTTCTTAATTATTTAATATATATATTTATTATTTTATTATTTTATAATATGCATAAAAATATAAAATAAATAATAAATATAAAATACTTATTGTGCATAAAGTGCAGATCTTAACCTAAGTATGTATCTCTTTAATTATTTAAAATATTAAGTATTTTCTAAATCCCAGGTCAAAACAAACAAACAAAATGAGAATAAATTTCAAAATATATTTTTATCGAGTAATAACCAAAATTAAAAAAAACACAACAAGAGAAAAAAATGAAGATAAATAGGATTGACACGTGAATGTAAAATTTTTATAACCATAATTAATTTTTAAATTGTTAAATCATGATTATAAAACTGAGTTAATTTTTAATTTGTTCATTTCTAATTTTTTAATTTTTAAATCATTATGGTTATGTTAAATCATGACCATAATTAATTTTAAATTGTTTATTTGTATTTGAAAAACTTAAAATATTATTTTTAAAAATAATTTAAAATTTAACTTAATTTTTATAAAATTATTTAAAAATTTAATTTGTAAAAAATATAATTTATAATATTATTATACAAATAAGTAAATTAGTTTTGAAAGTTTATATATTTTAAATGCAAATATTTTACCAACTGCTTCTTAAGAAAACATTAGGGAGCTTGCTAATACTCTACCTATCAAGCCTAGTGACATTCCGTTTATTTTTCATCACTCAAACACTGAAAAGTGAAATGATATATGAAATTGGGTCCATTAAATTCTAAACTTTGATCTAGAATTACAATTGTTTCTGATCCTATATATAGATAATTATATAAAAATTCCAAAATTTTAAAATTTCAAATAAATATAAAATCAATCGTATGTAAACTTTCAATTTGTAATACTAAAATTTATATTTTAATTACATACATTCACCATGTGGTGCAATACGCAGGTCTTATATAGTTAGGTTGTCAAAATGACTAAAACTAATATTTAAGAAAATTCCAACAAAAGAAATAGAATTAAAACAGTATTAACGAAAATAACTCGAAAGATTACAAGATTCGGTCCTGAACCTCTTAAGATTACTAGTCAAGATTACGACAAAATCAAATGGAACATGGAAGCTAAGGTTTGACATGATCAAACGTCAAAATTGCCGAAAGTCACCATGATTTATTGCAAATTAACTCTTTAAAAAGTCTTCAAATATTCATATTGGATAGCATCAACTAGGCTCGGTCAATCCGATATTTGGTTCTGTTTCAGGTAAAAACGATTTAGTTTCAGATATATCAGATTAACCATTCTTATACTTTAATAGGTATTTATTAGATTTTGATTTCGGTTAATTCCAAATACTTGTTTATTATGTGAATCAAATATATAATATAAAATATATTAGTTAATATATTAATTGAAATGGTCAATTGTTTACACGCTTATATATTCGTTAATCCAACAAAAATTCGAATCAATAAAGTGTTAATTTTATAAACATTTACCACATTTCATTATAGAATTACCATATATATATATAAAATAAGGTTTCCCTCATTTTCCTTGTGCCACGTCATCAATTCGGTTCACCTCGGATTGACACATGTCCCCTCTATCGAAACTGTGCGTTTCATTTATTCACGATTTATTTGGGCTTCTAATTCTATATGGTTTCTGTGTTAAGTTTTTTAAAGCCCATCATCATAAAGAGTGAGTCCACAAGCTCTAAAGGCGTCATTTTATCGTATGGGTTGAACTTTTCTGCTTCTCCGTCGTCGGGATATGAGGTCACGCCCTAGGGTTCTGAATTATCTGCTTCATCTTCTTCCTACTGATCTAGAAATCTTCCAGTTATATATTCATCATCTTAAAGCTCACCTTAAATCCATCCTCTAGGATTTAAGTTCAATGTAAGCTTGGCTCTTGCAAGGCGGTGGAAATTGAGTATAAAAGAGTAATCATCTCTACTTGCGGTGATGAGCTCATGTATGTCGATATGCTCTTGCATGTTTCAAAGGTGAGTCCTTCTTCTACTTCTGATAATATTGATGTTAATTTCCTGATGACCTTCTGTTAACATTACCAAGCTGTTTCACAAGAATTTTGACTCAACATGTTTGATCCGTTTATTGATTTTGACAACTTAAATTATGTTTCATGCGACCCTTATGCCATGCATGGTGACTGCTAGCCAGGTTCCAACCTTCTCATCTCACGGCGGGGTCGATGAATTCCATCACCAGTTTAGATGTGGCTCGGTGTAAACCAAAATTCGGGATGTCTGACTCCTCCTCCGTTGATTCGGTTCAATGATACAACCTCTTTGAATGTGTTAACTGAACCGAGTTCTCCACTACCTGAAGAATGTTTCTGGTGTTGTAGTCAAAGCGAGTTGCTCAGTCTAGCAAAAACCAACACCCAACTCCCGGGTAACCTCCTTTCAATTGTCATCATTATAACCAGAAAATAAATTTAATATTCAACTTCCACAGACATCATTGGGGAGATCACGGCGGCCAAGAGTACTATGAATGTCCCACTGGAAGACAAAAACCACTTGAAGGCGACCATCAAATTGGCTAAGTAAGTAATTTTTTCATATTTAGTTGTCTAATTTATCCGTATCTGATGTATCATGTTTATAAGAAACTACATTAACATCACATAACTATTTGTATTATACAAGCAGAGATTTGTCTGTGACTTTGAATTTGTTCGACTCCCACACTGTTTCGTTTCACAACAGACTAGAGCCATGCATGGTGATCCAAGGGTTCTTAAATCCAAAAATAGTTGGAAGTATATAGTTTTTTTTTTTAATTTAAAGATTCTCTCATCTTATTCAAATAAGAGATTTCATAGTTTGTTAATACCTTCATCAACCTTTGTAATGCAGGCCGTTTGTTTCTTAATGCAACTTCAGGAACACACATTTCTTTCGATAAGGATACTAATGTAGGAGAGATCTTATTTTACAAGTAAGTAACATACTGATGGTATATGCATATACATATTCATATACTAAGCTTACCAAGACATTGTAAATTTTACAAAGGTTAGTCTCCACAAACATTGTGCTTCCATCAGCAGCTCCACTTCTCAGAGGATATGCCAAGGTTGAGACTCTGACCATATCTAAGCTGGATGAATTTGTCATCACTGCTTCATCTCAGGTAGTCACTGTAACCTTATGAGTTTTTAAAATTACATGCTTGATACCACTGATATGTTGAAGTTTCTTTAAGCGTAAGAAAGTCCATCTTCATCCTACTATTTTAACTTCATAAGTTGTTTTATTCCCTCTAGGCTAGGTGCGTCTTGGTCTGGGTTATATACAACTTCTTAGAGTTTTAGGTGTCCGGAAAATAGCATCTACCACACTTTTAGAGCTCAATGCTTATGTCTTCGTTTCCCCAGCTTAGGTACGTAAATGTACTGCAATCATGGATTCTTATTGACTCATCTAAACTTTATTGTTCAACGTTTCCTCTACATGTCGATACCTGCAGACTGTTGAGTTCCTTTGCAAAGCCAAATTCAGTGAATTTGAGACAAGCAATGGATGGTACTACTTCTCCTCTTCTAAGTGCTATCAAAAGCTACAGCAGGGTTTCACATTACATGTTCAAGATGTAATGATGAAAACGCTACTGGGGTAGTTAGGTTACTTAGGTAATGTTTTATCACAGTAATTGCAGAGATTGTTTTCCCACTAATGCGAATTGTCTTCAACGTAAGCTTTACTAACATCTTTTTACCATGTCATTGTAAAGGATCTCTACAAGATTGTCATCATTACATCTTGAATGTATAGTATGCGCTTAGATAAATAAAGCAAACGGGTAAAACCAAAGCATTGAAGACATGTCACCACACCGTCAATATATTAACCTTCTTAGCTCTTGACTTTATGGACTTAAATTGGAGAATCATTGACTCAACGACCTATCATGTTGCTTAATCACACATCTGAGTATTACATGACATCTACCTATAAAACAAAACTGAATCCAAAACACGCCAACTACATTCCAAATCAGTAACAAGCACCAAACTATGCACAAGGAATCTAAACACAGGAAGAAGTTATTCAAATTAATCATGATTCATGAATAACGACCACAACACAATAATAATAGAATCATACCACTAACAGTTGGTACAACCAAATCTTACAGTTAAAAACAGCAATCAAAATTTGCAAACCAACTTAGAATCATTTATATGTAACTAAGATATAAATTCTTTACTATGAAAATAGATAATAATGAAGATCACTGTCACTTTAATTCAAACCAAAAATGATTATTAAAAATAACAATATAATTTTAGAATTATTTATTATTTATTTGTTATAATATTGTTTTCAATCTATAATGTTTTAAAAAGATTTATAAATTTATATAAAACAATTTTTATTCTAACTTCCCGCCCGTAGGACGAGCCAACCCTAGTATATAACATAAGAGAGTAGATAAATGATAATATGGTTTGGTGGTAAAAATGTTCTCACTCTTTATATCCAATTTGGGTTCAAGTCTGTTTGATATCATTTTACTTTATTTAGAAAAATTTAAACTTGTTTTTCGGATATTTGGGTACTCGTTCGGTTCTCGGTTTGGTTCCGATTCCAATTCCGGTTCATTTTTCGGATATAGAAATACATGAACTATTCGGATATTTGAGGATTTTGGTCCGATCTGGTTTCAGATATTTCGATTCGGTTCCAGTTCAATTTTTCGGTTCTGGTTTTTTTGCCCAGGACTAGCGTCAACTGCTTTTTCAGAAATTGAACACGAGAAATTTAAGATCAACACACAAACAAATTGTAGCTTTTATGGTGTAGTTGTAGATAATTTAACTATAAGATTTTGTTGTAGATTTAAAAGATTTAATGATTTACATATAAATTTTCTAAAGCAAAAAATAAATACTCTAGGTTTAGTGCTTTCTACACCCAAAATTAAACAAAAGTGAATAGAAAATTTGTGGTTTTAAAAAATCTTTATAGAGCAGGATTAGAATTTTTTTTATGTCCTAGAAATAAATTGGAATGTGGAAAGCTTTTATAGCACTTTTTTATCAAGCCCTAACCCGAGAATAATTTAAGAAAACAAACAAATAACAAAACTCAAATCTCATGGTATTGTTCTAAAAATTGGCCGCTTAGCCATCTAGACGCTAAACGATCCTCATACGCTCCCATTTATGTCAAATCGGCATAAAAATTGAATGTCCGATTGTAGTTCGTTTATGTCACCTAGTCGCTAAGGCAGCCACCTAATCCTTTATTAATATTATTTTTATCTATTTATTTGATCTAAAATTTGATGAATGTAACTTATATTCAGAATTTTGATGAAAGTTATACTATATTATCTATATATTCTATTTGTGGGTTTTACACGGTTCTAAACATAAAAATGTATTAATATTATATATAATTAAAGTTTAATATATTTATAACATATCAAATAATTTAAAATTTTCGCCCATGTTATCTCCACTTAATTTTTGATTTTTTTTTGTAAGCGCTAGACTTAATGCAAAATTAAAATCCATAACGGTTTATGTTTACAAGCTTCGGCACCAACATAGATAACAATATCTCTGAAGATAACAAAATACATGATTTTGATTCTTATAGGGAACTGAAATATAGAAGAACACAAATTTACGAGGGGCTGAACTGCTGAAGCGTGTATTGCAAATTTGCAAAGCTGGCAGTCTGCAAATGAAGTTCAAAATAAGGTTAGTGAAACTATAAAGGCCAAAGCTCTTCAATGGTTAAATTATAAGTTTTTTTGAGAAAAAAAGACGGTTAACTTATAAGTTGCATCATGTTGAATATATTTTTCATCGAATTTTCTTTCTATAACCTAATTAAACTTTTTCTGTTTTTCAACTTTAGATTTTTTAAAAATTACACTAGTATTTATCCTGGTGCTACGCACCTATCAAATTTAATGTCTTATCAAGTTTAATGTCTTTTAAACTCTCTGATCATAAAATTTAAAAGTTGTAATGAATATTAAAAAAGATTATTATTTAGTTATATATTTTCCTAACCTAGATAACACATTAATACATCAACTTAGAAGTGGTTAGAAATACATAAAGAGTTATATGACGTTCTTTTGAAAATTATTTTAGAACTAGCAAATATTTTTGAATCAACACGCGATTTTGACTACCCACATTGAGCACTTGAATGGTCAAAATGAATTTTCAGCATCTAAGATCAAAGGAAGAATAACTCCAAATACTCTCATGGGAAAAAAATCATTCTTCATATTCCCTCTCTATTCACACTACTCATTTGTCTTTGAATTCTCCATATTAGCTTTTTTTTAATATATTTCTTCTCCACCTCACTAATTCTTTTAAATTTTCAATTAAATTGCCCAACCAACACACAACAACCAAATAGAGACCACAAGCAACCTTAACTAATAGAATTTCCAGCATTCCCTCTCTCCTGGAGCTTAAAAATCAGGTAAATCTTATCCATTTTTTATGAAATTTTGTGTGAAATGTCTTTTAAATGTTTGTGTATACCATGGGTAACCAAAAAAAATAAGAATTGATGAAAATTTGAGAGAGAGAAAACGATTTTAAAAACTATGTATATGGATTTCAGGTATAATTTATGTCCGTTTTTGATGAAATTTTTACTGGAAAACTTATAAAGATAAGTGTATATGTCGGCTTGTGTAACAAAAGAAAGATTGAATGAAAATTTTAAGAGATTTAAAAGGATTTTGTAAACTTTATTTATGGGTTTTAGGGTATATTTTATGTAAGTTTTGAGCCCGTTTTGATGATTTCTTGGGTGTAATGTCATTAATATGAAGTATATACCATAGGTAATGAAAAAATCCGAACCAAAACAGACTAAAAAGTTGATTAATTAGTGCAAGGATAATTTCTGGGTATTACTAAGATACCCAGTTTTACTGAGGAAAAAATGTATTACTGATACTACTGGTATTATTATTCCTACAAGTATTACTAGTATTACTGGTTTTACTGTGTATTTAGTATTGAAAAAATTAGTCTTAGTAAGAGTGTACAGCGTGGAAATTAAATTTAAACTTTTAATTAATGCTAATTGTCGTTATTTTTATTTCAGGAAAATGCAAAATCCGCATTGTACAATCATTTGTTTTGATTATGGAGGATATTATATTAAAGATGGGGCTGAAATGATTTCGGGAGATGGTGAAGGGGAAGATGAAATTCACACTATTGTGTTGAAGAAATCAGTGGAGGAGATTACACGCTCTGTTTTGGTTGAGCGTATTTGCAAAAAGATAAAGGTAGATGACTATAAGACGGAAGCGAAGATTAGTTACTTTCCGATGGTAGTGTATTCGAACAAGCCATCATATATCTGGGAGGATGAAGACGTTTTCGGTTATCTAATGCAAGTAAATCAAGAGAATTGTAGAAGTGTTCTACATGTGGAGTTTTACAAAACGGATGATGACACTGATTTTTATGGTGGTCTATCGGATAGAGAGGCTACAGAAAGAGGGGCTACTGAATGAAGAGCTACTAATAGAGATGTTACTGATAGAGAGCCTACTGATACAGAAGCTATTGATACAGAGGCTACTAAGACAGAAGGTGGTGATGAAGATGGTACTGAGAAGGATGCAACTGATAATGAACGTACTGGTGGTGAGCTCACACATTACGAAGACATTGAGATGCATGAGAATGTCATCGAAAGAGAAGCAGGACCCTCAGTTGAAGTCGCACCAGTTGTCTATAAGGAGTGGGATGATGGTATGGATTTGGTTTTAGGTCAAGAATTTAGAACCAAGGAGGAAGCGAAAACTCATATTCAGATTGCTTCACATCTGAAGTGNGCCGAGGATCCAAAGAAGGCTGTAAGTGGTTTGTGCGTGTTGCAAAGTTAACGAATACAGATCTTTGGTCAGTTAGAAGTTACATCAAGCAGCATAGATGTTCTGTTGTTACCACAAGAACACTGCCTAATAGAAGGAGAGGCACACCACAAATCGTTGCATCTGTTTTGGCCCAAGATTATCCCGGAAGTTTTGACACGCCACATCCCAAAGAACTGATCAAATTGGTTCATCACAGAGTTTCTGTGGATGTATCATACACAACAGCATATAGAGGAAAAAGACTAGCTGCTAATAAAGTGTGCGGAACTTCTGAAGAGAGTTATTCTTTATTATATTGTTATATGCACATGCTGGAGCAGACGAATCCTGACACAATAACTCGTGTGGTCGTGGATGAGGGCAAAAAATTTAAGTATCTGTTTTGGGCTTTGGGAGCTAGCATAGAAGGATTCCGCGCGATGAGGAAAGTCCTCGTTGTGGATGCAACACACCTGAAGACTGTTTATGGTGGAGTGTTATTTATTGCGACTGCTCAGGATCCCAATCATCACCACTACCCAATTGCGTTTGGCGTTGCAGATGGTGAAAAATATGATAGTTGGCTATGGTTTATGGAACAGCTGAAATCAGTGATATCCGATGTCCCTGGATTGGTGTTTCTTTCGGACAGAAACAAAGGCTTGATCAAAGCAGTACGTCAAGTGTTCCCTCAGGCTGCTCATGGATATTGTATATGGCATTTGTCTCAAAATGTTAAAGGATATGTCCGTAACAACCGAGATACATGTGCATTTAAGTTTATGGAGTGCGCACACGCTTATACAGAGGCTGAGTTCTTGGACCTTTATGACGCTTTTTGCAAGAAGTATCCTAATGTAGCGGAGTATCTTAACACTACTTGTGAACAAAAAAAATGGGCTAGATGTTATTTTGAAGGAGATAGGTACAATGTTGACACCACCAATTCAGCAGAATCTTTTAACGGTGTTATTAAGAACGCAAGAAAGTTCACCTTCCTTCCAATGTTTGATTTTATCATTGCAAAAATTGCTGAATGGTTTAACCACCACAGGAAGGAGGCAGCTGAAATACCACCCGCACTAAAGCTTGTGCCTATTGTGAAGACGGAAATGTCTAAACGATGTGTTGAGGCAGGGCTTCTTACGGTTGACGAGTTAAATAGCTACCATCTCTAGTACAGTGTGCATGGTAGTGACGGGAAACATTATACCATGGACATGGCTATGACGACGTGCACCTGTGAGCAATTTGATAAAGACAAATATCCATGTGTTCATGCAGTAGCTGCTGCAACATTCATGGCTGATAAAGTAGGAAGAGAAGTCCTTCTATCGGAATATTGTTCTAAGTACTATTTGGTGGAGCAATGGACTTTGGCTTATCACAGAACAACATATCTTGTTCCTCATATGTCTGATTGGATTATACCAGAAGAAGTTAGAGCAATGAAAATACTTCCTCCAGAATATGAAGTCAAGAAAGGAAAACCGCAACAAACAAGGTTTCCATCAGCGGGAGAATCTCGTGGAAGAGGAAAAAGAGGTAGAGGGAGTGGAAGAGGTAGAGCCACATGCACAGGGAGAGCCACAGGCACAGAGAGAGCCAGAGGAGGAGGTATGGCAGCGTATTTTGAATGTGGAAGTGGTTCAGGTTCAGGGGTTTGACTGTTGAAAGTTGTTTATTCGGATTACTAGTATTTTTATGTGCTTTTCAAACTACTAGGATTACTGGGATTACTATGTGTTGTTCGGACTACTTAAAACTACTATTTGTTTTATGGACTACTAGTATTACTTAGAGCTACTATTCGTAATATGCATGTTTCTCTAAAAACTTATATTTTCGTCTTATTAATTGTTTTTATCATATGTAACTTTATTGTTTTTATATGTCTATATATTTTTATAAAAGTAGACAAAAAAAATTTAGAAATTTCATAAAGTCCATAAAAATTCGCATTTCCATATAAAACTTCCTTATACTTATATGATTAATGTCTTTATGGAACGGTCATAATGAAGTGAATAACACAAAATACATTTTTTCTGAAATATTTTTCTACCAATGTTTTGTATTCAATGTTAAACTGTCTAAATGAGGTTGTTTTACTACAAAAATTTTGTTTTAGATGTGGTATTACTAATAAATGTTGAAATTTTGCAAATGTATTACTATGAATAACGTAGTATTACTACAACCTTAGGTCTTACTATGTTGGGAATGTCTATACACGTTTTACACGTGTGTTGCACGTTTTACATGTGGTTTGGAAATGTTTTACTCGTTTTACATGTGTTTTGCACGTTTTAAATGTTTTGTTTTATACCTTGTATTACTAGTCCGAACCTGTTTCAACACAAATCATACAAATCCAAAATAACAAACTTCCAAAATATTAAACATCCAACATATTAAACATCCAACATATTAAGCATCCAACATATTAAACATCCAACATATTAAGCATATGTTTAAACATACCATCCTACAAGTTCACTACAAAGCCGAATTAATAAAATATCAAACATCCAAAATATTAAACATCCAACAGGCTTTCTAAGCCTTGGTTTTAGGCTTCTTCTTTGGCCCTTCGATCTCATCGATATTCATTTCCATGAAAGGAGAGGAAAGGCACTGTGATGGTACACGTACCCTTTTACCAATTGGTGTACCTAGTCCTCCTGTCCTCTTGGCCATTGCCTTTGTCCTACCACGTAGTGGTGTAACAGGAGAATGAGGATTTCCAGCCGGAGGAGTTCCATATGTCTGATCCACAACAGGAGAATGAGTTCCAGCCGTTCCATCCGTCTGAACAAGAACATGAGCAGGAGGAGTTTCATCCGTCTGATCCACAACAGGAGGATGAGGAGTTCCATCATAGCTCTTAAAAATTGTAAGAATCCATCCTGCTTTCTCCTCCTCCGTGTATTTCTTACACTCTTATTCCTCGGGTTCTTTCTTAGCTTCTTTCTCAGCTTCTTTCTCTAGTTTCTCAATGTCCTCAGGTTCTTCTCCAACCCGAGTCTCACTGATCTGTTCCTCAACCCGAGTCTCACTAATCTCTTCCTCAGCCTGAGTCTCACTGATCTCCTCCTCAGTCTCCTTGTTTTCATCTGCCTCGGTTTCATCTTTTTCTCATCAACCATTTCTGCATCATATGTCTGATCCTCTTCTTCTTCTTCTTCTTTATTTTCCTCCACATCTTCTTTATCTTCCTCAACACCTTTTCTGTTAAAATCGCAGTAAAAATCCATTCCTTGGTTGTCAAAACCCATGTCTTGGTTATCAAAACCAATGTCCTGGTTGTCAAAACCACGTGAAGGATGGGGCTACCCATGCTCTGGTTGTCAAGACCCTTTTTTCAGTTTCCTTGCCGTTCTCCTAACCTTGTTTTTCTTGACACCTTGGCCTTTCTCAATGGAATCAAGACGCTTCTCCATTGCTTTCATCTTCATAACCTTCTGTTTTAAAAAACGTTGCTTCTTCTCAATACAATCAAGCCGCTTTTCCATTGTCTCCAATTTCACATTCACTTCAACTAATGAAGTCATCACCATATCTTCGAACCTTTCCAGAAGGTTCTCCATCCCAACATTAGAGGAGGATGCTTTTTCAGACACTTTCTCTTTGTCTTTTTTCTTGGAAAACTCTCTTGCAGCCACATCTAACTCATAGAACACTTTCCACCAGATAGACTTCTCCTTTATAGTAAGCCATGCGCTCAACGCGTTACTTACTCCATCTTCCTTATCATATTCTGGCTGTCCTCTACTATTCGCGCCATGAGAGTTTCTTCAGCAAGAGTAGGAATCAGAACACTTTGAATTGTCTGAAATATAAACCAAAACAATATTGTTTGCACAGATTGTATTTCTGAAAACTTCATAAAAATAACTGAAAGAGATTATTTACCGTGGTGTTTCCAAGAGTTCTGTACAAATCGTCAAGTGGATAGCCCTTTATACTGTTACTTAGGAATCGCTTCTTACACATCCTCGGACAGTTACTCGTACAACCTTCTACTTCTTATCTATATTTTGCATTCAGAGATGGAATACACTCAAATGCAAGGATCAACATAAAAAAAATTTGTCAAAAAACAATCATACAACAAGTAAAATCTAAGTTAAGAATAAATTACCTCTAAAGGAATTATAAATCCTGGGAAGTTGACATTCGGTTTAGGTTTTCCCTTCAGATGCTTCATCACTTTCATAATCGAACGGATATTGTCTTCAAATGTCAAGCGACCCCAAGGAAAGGTTTTACAAACCTCCAAATCATTGGCGACTCTTAATATGAAAGAGTCCATGGGTCCATTATACTTTCTGTTCCCTCTGATAAGTGTGCCTAGAAAACACGATCTCATAGACAACAATTTCTCTTTCACAGAGTTTATTGTTATCTCGCCATGAGTTTTGAAATGCCTATCTACAAACTCGAAACTTCCCAACTTCTTATAATTGGGTGGGTAATCATGGCAGTCTAATCCTGAGATGAGTGCATGCTCTCTCATGGAATACCGAATGGGTACACCATTAACCGCAAACCAAGATGCGTCCCCTGCTCTCTCTAAAGGAATAGTGCGTAGTAGAAGCATCCACATACCCTGGAGCTTCAAGTTTGGTTCTTCCGGCATGTGGAAAAAGTGTCTAAATTGAGAGTGACTTTCAAACCAGGGCAACTCATCTTTTAGCGTTTTGATGACTTCAACCGTCGGGGTCACAGCGCACTTGCTCTGTATCTTACACGTCTTGGTAAACTCGGTGTTCTCGAAGTAGAGATTAGAAGGTGGCAGTGGCTGGCATTCCTGCAAGGCAAATAAAACAAACAAGGTTTTTGAACAGTGAGTCCACCATTTATTCAACTAACCAATACACGAGAAGTAACACATTATTCAACTGAAACAAAAATCATTACCTCGGATGGAGCAACAGAATCATCACTTGAGTTCCCACATATAAGCTCTTCTACTACAGGAGCAGTGTTTCTTTGGGCTCTTGTGGTCATTCTTTTTTTCTTATGGTCTGCCATTATTTAGATCCCCTGAAAATCCAAGAACAACAAAGTCAGTCATCGATCACATATGCTCACACCATATTCACAAAAACTCACCAAAAACTACACAAATTAATTATATTTTATCACAGAATCCAGAATCCAAACCAAATCAAATTTCTTGTTTTAACACATCATTTTAACCATTCTTAGACAATTTATCCAGAAAATTACAATTTCACTACCATTATTGGTCCCATTTCGCATTCAAACAAAAGAATACATCTAATATTTCATCAACCTTTTCCTAAACTTACTATCCATAATAAACTTTTCCTATACCCTATTCAAGATTTGTCTACAATTTACAACTTTTTCCCCAAATTTTGTTTGACCCAATTATATAATCGGATCTTTAGAGAGACCAAATAAAGAGAAAATCACTTACCAATATGTAAGAAAGTTAGGAGAAAGATGAAATATATCGATAGAGTCTCGATTGGAGCTTCGAAGTTGATAGAAACAAGAGAAAATATTGGGTCTTACTGTCGCCAAGTTTGTCGCCTGAGAAAGAGAGAGTCGAGTAGAAGTTTAGGTTTAGAGTAGTACGGCGTCGTTTAGAGTATAGGGTAAAAACTTGGGTTTGATCCGGTTATATTTTGGTTCGAATCGGTTAGTTAGGTTTGATTTAGTAATAAGTCTATTTGTTTGAGGGTATAAAGGTCTTTAACCCATTTTTATATTTAAAAATAAAATAAAAAATTATTTTTCATTAGGGGGTTTAATTAGAAATCTAAAAGGAGTGAGAGGAGTATATTGAGTTATTCTTCAGATCAAAGTCCTATTTTTTTTGGTGTAGATGTTAAATGGCTCTTTTAAAAAAAAAAAAGTTAAATGATCCTAATTTTCAAAATTTTCACTTTAAAATTTAAATGCTAAATTTTTTTGCATCACCTTCCATCTTCTTAACCTTCGCCACTGTAGAATAGACCTGTCCAAAATTTCTCTGATCTCTCATATGTTATTATTGAATCAGCTTTTATTTCTCATAAAAATCCGCAGTTAGCAATTAAAAAAAAAGCCTGCAGAAAGCAAAAATAATTTAAAAACTGAACAATACAAAGTTTTATGTTATGTTATATTGTATCTTTTTTTTGGTAAAATTTATGCTTACATTGGTAAAAAGTTTGCCTGCATTGTTTGATTTTACCATTGAGATGGAAACTTGAATTTTATACTATATTGTTGGGTTTATTGGCGAGATAGCTATGTTTGAGTGGTAAATTAAGTAAGTAGACATGATTTTGACACAATGTATTGTCAGACTTTTTGTCTTCTTTTTATCCGGTTATGTCCCTGCAAGAAAAAGGTTACCAGTTGCATATTATAAAACAAACGACGCGTTCATTTTCTGTGGTATATTGCAATCACATAATTCACGAAACGCGTGGAAGAAATTTATTCAACATATATAATGTGTTTTTCATTTTGTATGAGCATATAGAACAGAAAAGGTGACAAACAAACTATTCTATCTAGGTTGCACATATACTATTTTATTTATGTGACATAGTACATCACTCAAACCGTTATTGAGAACTAGACATATAAAACCAACCACAACACTTAAATAATATACCCAAATCTCTATTTAGTAAATCTAAACCCTATTTTCTAATCACTAAGCCCTAACTACAATTATCCCCTTTCCTTTCTAAATACTAAACCCTAAATGCTAATCACTAATCCATAACCCAAGTGTAAATCCTAAACCCAATAGAATGGAACAAAATAGATAGAATAGTACATATTGGTGCACTCTTTATTAACGATCAAATGGAACAATAAATGATAGGTTCACTTAACCCAATCTTCAACCCCCACCTTCGAAATACTAAACCCTAAATCCTAATCACTAAACCCTAAACCCAAATATAGACCCTATACCCAAATAGAATGGAACAAAATAGATAGAATAGTATATATTGGTGAACAAAATAGAACACTCTTTATTAATCATCAAATGGAACGATACATGATAGGTTCACTAAACCCAATCCTCAACCCCACCTTCCAAATACTAAACCCTAAATCCTAAATACTAAACCTAAATATAGACCCTAAACCCAAATAGAATGGAACAAAATAGATAGAATAGTACATATTGGTGAGTAAAATCGAATGGAACATGATAACTTACTGTAATTCCAAAGATCTAAGAAGAATCAATTTGGGAAGTTGGAGAGGAAAGATTTGTTACTAACCGCTGCTGCAACTTTAGTGCCGTACGATGTCGGAGGATATCACAAGCAAAGAAAAGTACATGATTGGAATGGGAGTTCGAAGGAGATGTCAAATTTTGAGGAGAAGGAGGCGGAGGTGACGCAGAACTGGATTCGTTGTTAGAGACTTCACTTTCCAGAAATTACTTAGATAAGTGAAAAGGAAGGTGAGAAGGATGATAAGCCACGATTTTCAGTTTTACATCTAATAATTATATCTTCTTTTTTTGTGTGCAGGTTTAACCGGTTGATGGCAGGGACAAAATAGTATTAATATGGAAAGATAACGGCGTGTGTTGATCTGTTAGGGTTAATAGCTCTTTCACTAATTAGGTTTTTTTGTGTGGCTATAGAGCCCAATTCCCCTATATTGTTTACTCTGCTTTTACAAAAAAAAAGTTATGAATTCATTACACACCACCATGATTACCTGCAAATTCTAGAAGCCTTGCAACAAATCCTTAAGGTTCTCAGAATCTCTCCACGTAGCATTATCAATCTTTTCCCGACGTAATTTAAAATCGACCACCAATCCAACTGTTTTTTTAGCAAACCACTAATCCAGCTGTTGTTTGAAAAAGGTCCAAAGACGACTATATTCCATTGTTTGATCTAAAAAAATTGTCAAACATGACCTTTAAGTAGTAATCCATATGATGAATAATGAGAGATGAAAGGATCTGTTGCTTTACATGTTTGATAATGGAGAAAAAAGAAAGAAGAAAAACGAAAGTAAATTTGTTGATAATAATAATTATAAAGGAGATGCAAAAAAAAAAAGGAGAAGCAAAAAAATTGTTTGAACGTGAATGTAATATTTTGAGAAAATCTAGAAAGGAATTACTGAAAATTAGGGATTAATATGTTTTTTTTCTTAATCAATTATTATTTGTTTTCGAAAATTATTTTCTACTTGTCAGTATTTGATTTGTCTGAGTTAGTTGTGCTTTAGTATATAAAGTATATGATGAAAAAGGTAACATTAAACAAAATAGGTTAATAACATGTTTAGAATTTAAATCAATTTTCAATTTGCTGGGACGTGTATCAAGTTATAACACTGATAATTCCGGAAAATAGCAACATTAACCTATTTTCCGTTATAAATTCTATACATCTATACTATTATTTACGAAGTGATTTTCCGCAACGGAGCTCCCACGTTAAAAGTTGGAGTGATTAATATCGTTTATACCCTAATGAATAAAATATATAAATTACATAAAAAATAAAAAGGAATTTAATTATTTTGATTAGATAAGTGATTAAAATTAATAATAAACATAAGAATTATCCAAAATCTAAATAATATTTTTTTAAATAAGATAATTCTGATATATATTGTGATGTTATCTGAAATATATTTTGATAAAAATTTAATAATTAAAACAATAGAAAATACATAAGTAAATATTAATCAAGTCAACTTCTTAATTTTATATAATTGAAAAAAAAATATTATTTGATTTTAAAATTATGTTTAATAGTGAACATACATAAGAATTATCCAAAATCTAAATAATATCTTTTTAAATAAGATAATTCCGATATATATTGTGATGTTATCTGAAAATATATTTTGATAAAAAAGTTAATAATTAAAATAATAGAAAATACATAAGTAAATATTAATCAAGTCAACTTCTTAATTTTATATAATTGAACAAAAAATTGTATTTGATTTTAAAATTATTTTTAGTAGTGAACATAAATTACAAAGAAATATATGCAAGAATTGTTAAATGAAAGTATAAATATTATTGGTTTCAAACAATAAAACACAATTAATATTTTATCATTATAATCTTTCAATTAGTAAAAGATGTATTAATAAAAATAGTTATAAAATGTTTAGGCCCGCAAATGCGGGCAAAACACCTAGTATGTTTATATTCTATTAAAAATATACTACATAAACTATTTTCCGTGCTAAACGAGAGATAATATGAAAAAGACACAGATATTCTTTATCAAATCACTGCACAAGTGCAGTGAACGAGGTAAAATGGATATATCAATTTTTTACCTCTTATGTTACTGTTTAAATATTCTATTTTATATTTTGTAGCCTTTGCATACTTGAAGAAATCATAGTCTGGAGCTAATATAATGATTGAATATTTAGTTTCTAAATAACCAAAAAGAAAATCTCAAAAAGTTAATATAATGATTGATTTATCTAATTTCAAAAAAGTGGAAAGAGCAACAAACTTAGCCACAACGGCGTAATTAGCCAATCCTTAGCTGTAATTCCTAGGGAAATTGGATTAAAAGAAAATTAATAAATCACAGTTTATTAAGGAGTTGTCCGTAATTAGGGGGTTAGAAGGATTGAATCCTTAGCGACGTGACAGAGTGCGGTTCGTTTGAAGTCGATTTGTGTTTCGGCGAAATCGAAGCGGCGGCTAAAGAAGAGAATGGCTAATCGCACGATATCTCAGGAGGCATTCGACGATCTCGTAAGGGATAACGTGGAAAATCTAGGAATGGAACCTTCCGAAGCTCTCAAAGACGCTCTCCACACACTCAAGCTCTAAGGCGTCGATCTTTCCAGTCAGTAACCTCTTTTTCCCAATTGAATGATCTATTTTTCTTCCAAACTCGATTTAAACTAGTGTGTGTGCTACAGGGATCATTACTTGTGTACCAGGAGAAAGTAGCGTTAAGGACAATCCGGTAATTGCGTGTTTAGAGAGACTCAAAGAACTCGACGCTGGTCTACTTAGAGATGAGGATTTTGGATGAGAGTTCGAGTTTGTTAGTTAAGCTAAACGAGCTGTGTAGCAGCCAAGAGTCAGGGAACGGGGAAATTGCTACTAAACATGGTGCTGTGGAGCTAACATGCTCGATTTGCTCCAAAATTAAAATAGACGTTAGGAGTAACGCCATTGTTGTTCCGTGTTTGAGAGCTTTAGCTGTTTTGATTCATGGTATGACTTTACGTTCTTGAATTAGTCTTCTTGGTGTTTGGTTCATGAGTTGTAACGTTGATCATGTGTCATCTAATATGCCGATATTCAGAGCACAGAGGTGTTTAGGAAGGCTTCTGGACCGAGGATTGTGGTTGATCTCTTGAGAGACTCTAGCTTTGATTCTGATTTATTAGATGCTGGTTTTGCTGTTGTTGCTGCTGCTGCGACTGGCAATGAAGTTGTGAAGGAGATATCATGGAGCTGAAAGTCGATGAACTTATCCTGAAAGTGCTGAATCGAGAGAGTAAAGTCACCATTAGAGCTCTGTATGATGCCATTCGTGTTCTTTTGACCCCAGATGACAACCGTGTTGTTGGTTTCCAAGTAAGTTAGGATCATACTCACGTGTCAAAACTTAAAAGCACATATGTATCTTTACAACACTTAGTAAACAACTAGAAGATGTTATGTGCTTCTACCTCAACGTACATGCTTTGAGAACTCAGGTCAAACTAGATTTTTATCATTCTTTCTTTCATATGTTTTTATTCTTAAGGATTCCAAATTTGAGAACACCATTGGACCTAAAACTTAGATTAGAATCTTTAATTATTCAAAAAATATAGTTTTATAATGCTAAACACTCTAATTAGAATAACACTATTGCGGATACTCTTATACATTGTGGGGTTCTGGTAGATAATACAAGTACCTCCAGAGTAGTCGGTAGTCGGGGAACAAAGACGGAGTAGAGAGACACCCTCTCACACATTCTCTGAAGAGTAGCGATCCAGCGGCGAGCTCCATAGCCAAAGCCGCCTCGTAAGAGGTCTCTGTAAATTCGATGTGTTTGCACTTTATCATTTACTTCCATATGCTCCATCCTTGTCACCTGCTCATTTTGTTTCTCATAGTTGTAGTTTATCTATGGTATTGCCAAAATATAATTGCAACATTTTACATGTTTTGACTAATTTTATTTTCCTGCAAAATAGTGTGGTATGTTGTAAAATAGTTGATCAAATCACATTCTGATTTTAATTTCTGATTATGCATGTAACTGAAAAAATCAATTTGGACTATAGTATATGAACAAATCACATTCTAATTCTTGTAAATAAATAAATATATTTTCTTTCTAACCTCAGTAGACTCTTTTTTTTTTTTTTTTTTGTAAACCTCACTTGACTCTATTAATCAAATTTGAAGTGATGCAAACCGAAATTTAATAGTTTGTGATGTGAAAAAAAACTAACTAGATACTAGCTTGAAACTTTTCAAAAGTCGTTACAAAAAAAGCCTTTTCACAATAAGTATATGCATAAATAATATAAAAATATATTTAGACAAACATAGGAGAAGAGACCTTAGATTGGCCATTGGGCAAGGCTTGAATGAAACAACCGGAAGGACGTTTGTAGCAAGCCGGAGTCCCAAGCTCAAATCAAAGGATCTTTGATGGTACGACACGTCAGAAATTACCCAGGGATCTTCCTCCAATTGTTGGCAACATCTTACAGCACCTCCAATGGTGTTAGCCACCATTTAAGTCTTTAGCAATATAATAATTTTTTTTTAAATAGTTAAGAACTCTAATCACAAATGTTCCTCCAATAGTATTATCCTATGTTCAAAAACTCGGGCGCTTAACCGCCTAGGCGCCCGAATAGTCGCGAAACGGAGCCTCTCTACCACGATTTTGCTGTAGTCGGGATAAAAAAACGGAATTCAATTAATCGGACCCATTTGACCAAAAAATCGGCCCATTTCACGATTAATCGGGCCATCTGCCGATTAAACGGCCCAATTACTAACTATATATAGATATTTTTAAGGCCTTTCGTCAAAGTCCAAATATCATTAATAATATCTTACCGGTTTAGAGTAGAATATATATATAGAACAAATTGTTGCTTCCTTTTTCACTTATAGCCGATGTGGGACTTTGTATATCCACCAGGTAAATAAAGCCAAAAGATGTGGGACTTTGGCTCTAACTGGTAACCATCACAGGAACATCAAGAACAAATAAAAAAGGAATAGATGGGAATAAAATTATGGGAATGAAGAGGAATAGTTATTCCATATCAAGTTTAATAAGGAACAAATTTGTTCAATAAATCTCTACAATAAAAGGAATGATGAGGAATAGAAAGGAAAAGCTATTCCTTATGAATGGCAAATATTTTTTAGAAATATTAAGGAATGTATTGTTCCTCCTCGTTCCTTTGGTCACCATTCATAGCCTTAGTATATCCACCAGGTAAATAAAGCCAAAATAAGAAAATGGCACAGAATAGCTTCGAACCCCCGTTATTAATGAAAGTTGAAGAACATAAACCACTAGGAGACAACAATCTCAATGTTATATATCGCATCTATTATTATATCTATAGAAATGCATATAATATAATTATAAAAACTAGGTCCCGATTAATCCCCCATTAAATTCCGATTTGTTATCTAGGCGCTAGGCCCAATCCAACCGCCCGACTAACGCCTAGCGAGTTCTTGAACATTGGTATTATCTATTATGGAGTTCTTAGAAAAAAAAATATTAAATTTAAGGGAGAATTTCAATTATACCACTTTGGTGGTACCACTTTTCATGTTTACCATCAACAAATGAACATTTTCAAAAATACACATTTTATTAAAAGATAAAAGACTCTTATATTCTTGTTCTTTATATATATACATAAAATAAATATTAAATAAAATATTAACCATAAACCCTAAAACATCAATTCTAAACTCTAGATCCTAAAAAGTAAACCCTAAACCCTAAAAATCAACCCTAAACCCTAAAATATCACTTCTAAACCTTAAACCCTAAACTCTAAACCCTAAAAAGTAAACCCTAAACCCTAAAAAAGCAACACTAAACCCTAAACTATCAATCCTAAACCCAAAACCCAAAACCCTAAATTCTAATAATATTTTGAGTATTAAAATTTTAATGGTAAATTTGGTTAGTGTAAAGTTGAAAAGTGGTATCTTGAAAGTGTTATTTCTGGCAATTTCCCTAAATTTAAAACATGTGAAATTAAAAATTTTGTGAGAAAATAACTTAGAAAAACCTTAAAAAGGTTTTTGTCACAAATAGCCTATAAAGAAAAAAATGACCAAAATAAACTTTATTAAAAAGTGTAAACATACACTTGTACTCATTAGATTAACTAATATATACTTAAGGTTTAGAGTTACGGGGTTTAGAGGTTAGGATTTAGGTCTTACGGTTTAAATTTTTTTTTTTAAATGAAAAATTTCAACAATCGGACGTTGCCACGTCATTAAGGATCAAGTCCTTAAAAATCGGACTGATCTTTAGATTATGCAAATTAAATACTATAATTTAAATCTGATTTGCCTAATAATAAGTGGTAAGGATTTGGTTAAATCTTTCATTGCGGGTGGTCTAATATCAACTAGCTAAATTAATATTTTGATGTGTCATAGCCAAATGATTTTTATTCATAATATTTTGTGCTTTGAAAAGAAAACTGCAATGTGCAACAAGGATGTTGACAAGTGCTAGTTTTAGTAGGTAGAAATTTTTTTGTATTTATTTTAGTGTTCCAAAAATTGGTATTGACAACGTTCGGACGCCGATTTAGATTTTTCTAAAACGATTTTTAAAATGGTGTGGGCGACATTTAAGCGTCTGCTTAAACACTAATCTCTTATATAGTGCCCTAATTATTTCTTAAGATACTTTCTTTTCTTTTTTTTATTTAGTTGTGAAAACCATAAATGGAAGAAGGAGGCTCCTGGATTTAGGAGAAAGAATGTTGAGAAATTTTGCAAGGATACTAATTAAATATGCCTAAAAAAATCTTGTTTTTCGCAACAGTCTACAAGCAACAGCAGCGGAGTTAATATTTCGGTGTGTGTAAACAAAGAAGCCGGTCAAACGGACGGTCACATTGTCTGCGCTTGTTCATCTTTATGTCTCCCTCTTGCTCCTCTCCAAGTCTACAACTTCCTCAAAAATCTACAGGTTCGCCATCAGGTAAAAATATATCAAGCTTAATTTCACATCCAAGTCCACTTTTAATTAGCTTTTTTAATTTAATACAAATGTTATGAATGTAAAGTCTGAATATTATTGATGTACAACAATGAGTATATATACAGAAGAACAGATCCTAATACTAAGGAGAATAAGCTTATAGATAAATACAAATATGTTAAGTCATTATCCTAATAATATATGTCTTTATCTCAATACCCCCCTCTCAAGTTGGTGGTGAGATGTCTTGAAGTTCCAACTTGGAAAGAAGATATGTAAATGTAGGAGAAGGCAAGGACTTGCTCAGCAAATTTGCAGGTTGTTCCTTGGTAGAAATGTGTTCCAACAAAATGAGCTTAGTAGTGACAGCATCCCGAACAAAATGGCAATCAAATTCAACATGCTTTGTACGCTCATGAAACACAAGATTTGTAGCAATATAGATAGCAGACTTGCTATCACAGTAGAGGTGCATAGGCGAGGTGTGAGGAAGACCAAAAGAGACCAGAAGCCGTTTGATCCATTTTAGTTCTTTCAATGTATCAGCCATGGCACGGTATTCCGCTTCAGCGGAGGAGAGCAACACACAATCTTGTTTCTTGGTCTTCCAGGAAACAAGTGAAAAACCAAGTAGTATAATGAACGCACTAAGAGACCGTCGAGACGTAGGACATGAATTCCAATCAGAGTCGCAGTAGGCGGTGACCTGAAAATCGGAGTCTGAGCGGAGGAGAAGACCCTAACCAGGACACCCCTTAAGATAGCGTACTACACGAAGCGCAGCCTCCCAATGATCTTGTAGTGGTTTATGCATGAATTGAGAGAGTATGTGAACACTGTAACAAAGTCCTGGACGAGTGAATGTGAGGTAGATAAGGCGTCCTACAAGGCGACGATAAGACTGAGGGTTGTCCAAAAGTGGACCATCTGCCTTTGCGAGCTTGTGATTGAGCTCAGTCGGAACCGAAACCGGTTTGCCCCCAAGTAGACCCGTCTCTGTAATAATGTCAAGCCCATATTTTCGTTGAGAGAGAAAGATGCCAGTTACACTTCGAGCGACCTCAATTCCAAGAAAGTATTTGAGTTTACCCAAATCTTTCATATGAAAGCATTCACCCAAGTAAGTTTTGAAACCTTGTATAGTAGGTATATCATTGTCAGAAATGACAAAATCATCAACGTCGATTAGGATTTGAAGCTGAACATTGTGACGAGTAAGAGAGAAGTGAGAATAATCTGCTTTACTCTGAGTG